CGTGAATTTACTAACCAAATTAGCTGGCATCGCAACGTTAAAAATAAAATCTCTATTCAGCCAAGCTGCCATCAAAAGAATGTCACCTCAAAACGTCCATTTGATGATTCCTGTCTAATGCTCAGTGGAAACGATCAAGTTTTCGTCAAATATTTGTATGAACACTCAATAACAATAAATCTTATGAAGTTGCAATTGGTTCATTTTATTATTTATATCTCCATACCCAAATATGTTACTGTGAATTTTGATATTTATATCTCCAAAGCCAAGTGTGTTACAGATGTGAATTTTGGTATAGATTTTAATGTTACAATGAATCACCACGCTCTTTAAATCTACTGACGTGTGCGCCACACTATATTCTCTATAGAAATGCGTGGTGAAATGGGAGTGGGACGTTCGAATTAGAATATCAACACAGTTCAACCATAGTTTTTAAAAAGTGGGAATGTGGTAAATTTTAATACCAACATCTCCAAGCCAAAATTATATGCTACAGACTTGAACTTTTGTATAAATATTCAACTAAAACAAATAGACGTGTTCTTCAAATAAACGGAATTATGCGCTGAGCTCTTGTGTTTTTGTTTTTTTTTTAGAAGATCCCAATGTGTGGTGAAAAGAAAGTTGGGACATTAATATAGTTCAGGGGCGTGAAAAAAAAATTAGCAGTCGCCAGGGTTGGACTGTGCCGCCAGGACACCGGGAAGATTCCCGATAGGCCGCTAGGACCGGTGATATAATAAAAATAAAAGTCATGAAGATAGGGCCGCTTTTTGTTTTTTTTTCCCGGGCCGCTTGAACTCCCCAGCCCACCCCTGGCGGGCCGCTTGAACTCCCCAGCTCACCCCTGGCGGGCCGCTTGAACTCCCCAGCCCACCCCTGGCGGGCCGCTTGAACTCCCCAGCTCACCCCTGGTGGGCCGCTTGAACTCCCCAGCCCACCCCTGACGGGCCGCTTGAACTCCCCAGCCCACACCTGGCGGGCCGCTTGAACTCCCCAGCCCACCCCTGGCGGGCCGCTTGAACTCCCCAGCTCACCCCTGGCGGGCCGCTTGAACTCCCCAGTCCACCCCTGGCGGCCGCTTGAACTCCCCAGCCCACCCCTGGCGGGCCGCTTGAACTCCCCAGCCTACCCCTGGCGGGCCGCTTGAACTCCCCAGCCCACCCGTGGCAGTGGCGTACTTTTAGGGGTAACATCCAGGGGATGATTTTATTAAAGGCCTGATATAATATATATTTATTTATTTTATTTTTTTTGGGGGGGGGGGGGGGGGGGTGGGGTGCGATTTTTAATATAAAAGTGGCTATAAGAGCGGTGCTAAAAGGGGGGTCGAAAGTATGGTACATAAATATAGAAGAGTAGGGAGGAAAAAACGATGTGTGGCGGGCCTTGTGAATATTTAATGACGGTCTGGGAGGGTGTGGGGGGGTGGGGTGCGATTTTTAATATAAAAGTGGCTATAAGAGCGGTGCTAAAAGGGGCGTCGAAAGTATGGTACATAAATATAGAAGAGTAGGGCAATATATCTAGTAGAAGATTGTGGCAACAAGGTTGTGGAAGATAGGGTTATCATTGCTGGTAGAAGACTGGGGCAACATAGCTGTAGAAGACTGGGACAACATACCTGTAAAAGATAGGGGCATCATCGCTGGTAGGAGAGTGGGCAACATAGATATAGAAGTTTGAGACAAAATAAATGTAGAAGAGTGGGGCATCGATTTTAATAACGAAGTGGCTATTCGTACCCAGGTCCGAGAAGTTAGAGGTTTGGATTAAAATTTTTAAAAAAAAATAATATTGTTCGGTTGTAAGACAAAATTTGGTATCACATGAAAGATAATTGAATGGACTATATGTTTGTGAACTTAATTCTTCAGTTTAACTAAAATAAACTACCACAAATGACATCCGAATAGCATTGAGTATAAAGGGACCCGGGTCCGGATAGCGGCGATGCAAGCCGATGCCCCAATGCTCATTTCTATGTTAGTATCACTGAGAAAGACGTTGGTGTAGGGAAGCGGTTCTCATATGCTTTGACGTGAGGACGCCTTTGGGGAAAGCCCTTTTTCGACTTACTCTAGGTCTAAGACGGCCTCTGAGACGTGCACGCGGAGACCTCATTGCTCTGAGGAGCGCGAGCTGGAAACTACTGGTGTAGGGGATCACTTGGATCTGTGGTTCTCAACCTTCTTTTAATGCCACGACCCTTTAGTACAGTTCCTCATGTTGTGGCGACCCCCAACCCCCCCCCCACCCCCAAAACAAAATTATTTTCGTTGCTACTTCATAACTGTTGAGTATGAGTGTTTTCTGATGGTCTTAGGCGACCCCTGGAAAAGAATCCTTCGACCCCCAAGGGGTCGCGACCCACAGATTGAGAACCACTGACTTAGATAGACGAGAGTGTAGATAGGGGATCACTGAAGTAGACGATAGTGTAATAGATCACGTATGTAGATGTTACTGTATTAGATCACTGAGGTAGACGGTAGTGTCGTAGATAACTTATGTATGTAGATGTTACTGCATTAGATCACTAAGCTAGACAGTTGTGGCGTAGATTNGAGCTGGAAACTACTGGTGTAGGGGATCACTTGGATCTGTGGTTCCCAACCTTCTTTTAATGCCACGACCCTTTAGTACAGTTCCTCATGTTGTGGCGACCCCCAACCCCCCCCCCCCACCCCCAAAACAAAATTATTTTCGTTGCTACTTCATAACTGTTGAGTATGAGTGTTTTCTGATGGTCTTAGGCGACCCCTGGAAAAGAATCCTTCGACCCCCAAGGGGTCGCGACCCACAGATTGAGAACCACTGACTTAGATAGACGAGAGTGTAGATAGGGGATCACTGAAGTAGACGATAGTGTAATAGATCACGTATGTAGATGTTACTGTATTAGATCACTGAGGTAGACGGTAGTGTCGTAGATAACTTATGTATGTAGATGTTACTGCATTAGATCACTAAGCTAGACAGTTGTGGCGTAGATTACTTATGTAGATGTTACTGTAGTGGATCACTGAGATAGACAATAGTGTTGTAGATCACTTATGTAGATGTTACTGTAGTGGATCACTGAGGTAGACAATAGCGTCATAGATCACTTATGTAGATGTTACTGTAGTGGATCACTGAGATAGACAATAATGTCGTAGATCACGTATGTAGATGTTACTGCATTAGATCACTGAGGTAGACTGAAGTGTCGTGGATCACTTATGTAGATGTTATTGTAGTGGATCACTGTGGTAGACAATAGTGACGTAGATCACTTATGTAGATGTTATTGTAGTGGATCACTGTGGTAGACATTAGTGTTGTAGTTCCCTGAGGTAGACGATTCTGTATACGATAAGTCTCTATAGTAACTCCTGTATTTCCTGTTAACAGGGGCCTTTACCCCCTATGTGCCACAACTCCTCAACTTCTGTGAGTTCTCTATACGTTTCAGTTGTATGATGACCCACTGAAGTCGACCGACGGCCGTGGAATTCTTCACTGACAAATTAATTTTTAAATACAAGGTTGTCTTTCAATCAATGTAACCACGGCCATTACACGCTCTAATTACAGATACAATCACCGTTGACATGGTGCAGTCCGCGGATGTAATGACAGTGATTTCATTACTATTACCAAATCAAAGGTAATGATCGTGATCTGCCAGCTGAAAGTACACAACTGGGACAACCGGGTCTCTGATATCATCATGGATATAATTGCCAGGCTACATTACAAATATTGATTGTAATCCGATGTCTTCATTATACGTTAACAGTTGATAAGAGGCGTAGTTGCTCTAGTTATACTGCAAGTTCACCATCGGCGTGGCTCCGAGCCGTGGTTTCCCTAGCTACACTGCAAGCTCGTCATAGGCGTGGGTTCCGTTTCCTTGAAGAACCAAACACGTGACCATTATTATACGTCAACAATAAGGGGACGTTGCAAACCTTATACAACTACGACAGGGAAACTTTAGTAGGCGCCTTTGTAGACATTTTATACTTAAGTAGGCGCCTTTGTAGACATTTTATACTTAAGTAGGCGCCTTTGTAGACATTTTATACTTTAGTAGGCGCCTTTGTAGACATTTTATACTTAAGTAGGCGCCTTTGTAGACATTTTATACTTAAGTAGGCGCCTTTGTAGACATTTTATACTTAAGTAGGCGCCTTTGTAGACATTGTAGTAGGTGCATTAGTAGACGTTTTTCTAACAGCTTTATCATCAAAATTTTAAATGAAAGAATTGGAGAAAAAGAATGAAATCTCACGATGAAAAGAGAGAGAGAAATAGAGGGAGAAAGAGAGATAGAGAGGGAAAAAGGCAAAGTGATAGCCTCATATTTTGTTCATTCCACAAAATCATTTTTTTCTTTAAATTTTAAAATTGTATTATTTGCAGATGAAAAATGCATGTCAGTATGTGTTAACAAATATGTTTGTATAAGGAAAGTCATCTGAACCAGTCAATTACGTAAAAGGAAGTCATCTCAACCAGTCAATTACCTAAAAGAAAATCATGTCAACCAGTCAATTACCTAAAAGAACGTCATCTCAACCAGTCAATTACCTAAAAGAAAGTCATGTCAACCATTCAATTACCTAAAGTCACCTCAACCATTCAATTACCTAAAGTCACCTCAACCATTCAATTACCTAAAGTCACCTCAACCAGTCAATTACCTAAAGTCACCTCAACCAGTCAATTACCTAAAGTCACCTGAACCAGTCAATTACCTAAAAAAGACGAAAGACAGCGTTTACAACTATACCTCTAACAAAAGAGAAGCAATAGATTTGAAAATAGCAGGTCGTAATCGCTCGTATAAAGTAATCGTCATGGAATCGTCCTTGAATAGCATCAGTGAGGTTGTATCGTTTAGCCCAGTTAATAAAACCGAGTCGCAATTTCTATACTACAATGGCATTTCCGACGAAGCAGTCGCCAAAATGAATACTTACCTAAATTCTTGGATATCGATCTGCATAACCTGCCTCGGTCTCTTCACCAACTCTTTCAACATTGCCGTGTTCGTCAAACAGGGCTTCAGCCAAGGGGTCACCATTACGATGACCTCCATTGCTGTCTGGGACCTCCTCAAGTGCACGTGCGCCTTCATTCACCGACTCTTCGGGCCCATAAGCCTCGCCTCCCCATCGTTTGGTTATTCCTGGATCGGCTACACCCGCCCGAATATCGAGTACGCCCACATATTCGCCGGTTACGTATCGTTCGCCCTCACGGCTTTTGTCTCCATCGAGCGATGTCTCTGCGTGTGCCGGCCGTTCACGGTCAAATCGGTCTTCACGGCCAGGTTCACGACACTCATGGTCCTGATGATATCCGCGGTGGTCTTTGGGTCCTACTCTGTCATGTTCTTTATCTACGACGTTGAGCTCGTGTTCAATCCTGACCTGAACGCCATCGTTGCGGTCTACGTCTACAATATGTTTTACTACGCCCACAGAGCCACTGTTCTTGTGTACTACCAGGTCGCCGGCATAACCCTTCCAACTCTCAGCATCACGGTCCTCTGCGTCTGCTCCATCACGACCGTCTATCACCTCAAGAGATCGCAGGATTTTTTAAGATCCAGGCACAATTTTGACTCGGGGATTTCCCGGAAAGAAAAGCAAGTGGTAAAAATGTTGTTGACCGTCGTTTTTGTGAACATCGGGAATCTCCTACCCCGCATCGTCTTCTACACCGCGCAGCTGTTCGAGCCGGAGTTTTATCTGTTGAGGAAGTACAACAACATCTTCTTCATGACGAGGTGCTTCATCACGGTTTTGGATTTCATCAAGTCATCGGTGAATTTTTTCATCTACTACAGGATGAGTTCCAATTTTCACGCAACGTTTTCGGAACTGTTCGCTCCGTGTAGATCTAAGTTTAAAGCTTTTTTCCCCCCTTGCTTAGATAAACATCAATGACCCGTAGTCGCTACAGGAATTTGTTTTCACTCCACATCAACTATAAATAACTAATTCTTGTAAATATTGGTAGATAGGAGATGACATTTTCTTTTAGACACAGTCAATAAACATTTTTTTAAAGTGTTCTGGTTAAGCAGCTGCTAGGAAATAACTCAAAAATTTAGAATATAGAACTGGTAGAACTATTTAAAATGCATGTGGGCAAGCTCTTCACAAAAATCAACATTCTGAATTCGCATGGCTATGAAATCAAGATTTCCAGCATATAGAAAACTGATTTCATTGCAACATTAGAGACCTACTTAATCGTCTACCATTACACCTTGAACAGGGACTACTTTTCAGAAAGCTGACATGCTACATCTTGAACAGGGACTACTTTTCTGAAAGCTGACATGCTACACCTTGAACAGGGACTACTTTTCTGAAAGCGGACATGCTACACCTTGAACAGGGACTACTTTTCTGAAAGCTGACATGCTACACCTTGAACAGGGACTACTTTTCTGAAAGCGGACATGCTACACCTTGAACAGGGACTACTTTTCTGAAAGCTGACATGCTACACCTTGAACAGGGACTACTTTTCTGAAAGCGGACATGATATTTGCTGCACGCGGGCTCCGGGAAAAATTGCAAGCGGAGCAAAGCGGAGCAAAGCGGAGCAAAGCGGTCTGTTCATCAACTTTGTGCATCTGACTCAGTCATCCCGTGATGGACTGTACAAGATGATGGAGAAGTTTGGCTGACCGAGTACGTCAACTCCATGATGGTATAATGGCCAGGGTGATGGACTCTGGAGATGAGTCTGTAGCTTTTCCTGTAACAAGGGCTTAAAACGAGGCTGCTTTCTAGCCCCTACATTTTGAGGCGTTGGTATTCTCAGCAATGCTGACTCATGCTTTTCTTGACCATCATGACGTCATTGATATCAGACACAAGACAGGCGCAGGGATATTTAATCTTAGGAGATTGGAAGCTATTACGAAAGTTAAATAAACTGTTATTCTAGACCTACTATTCGCGGAGGACGGCGTACAGATGCATCCTCGGAACTGAAAATGCGGCATATATTTCATCGCTTTACTGTGCTAAAACCCGTGACAACTACGGCCTTGCCAGATAAAAAAAAAAAAAAACCAGATATCCTACACCAGCCAGCTCCAGAAAAGGCTTAAAAATAAACAAACTTATGAGTGAAGGGGATGAAAATGCGGCATATATTTCATCGCTTTACTGTGCTAAAAACCGTGACAACTACGGCCTTGACAGAAAAAAAAAAAAAAAAAAACCAGATATCCTACACCAGCCAGCTCCAGAAAAGGCTTAAAAATAAACAAACTTATGAGTGAAGGGGCAGAATCTCCGAGCAGCGGAAAAATGGACATATTTGGGCAGCACCATCTCCCGCTTGGTAACAATAGATGATGAGATCAACAACCTAATTTCCAAAGTAAAGTTTGCATTTGGAAGGCTCCGCAAGAGTTTCTGGGAGCGAAGGGGTCTCAGTCTTCTCACTAGGCTGAGACTTTTAAGAGCAGTTGTATAAAAAACTCTCATATACGCCAGCGAGAAGTGGACACTGTACAATCGACATGCTAGACTTCTTGGCACAAGGTGGCAGTACAAAGTATTCTTGATTCAGAAGTCCTACAGAAGGCTGATTTTATCAGCTTCTACGCGCTCCTGCAAAAAGAACAAGCCGGATCGGCAGGGCATGTTGCAAGGATGCCAGACTTTCTAAACGACTTATGTACGGTGAACTCTCCGGGTATGTTGCAAGGATGCCAGACTTTCTAAACGACTTATGCAAGGTGAACTCTCCGGGTATGTTGCAAGGATGCCAGACTTTCTAAACGACTTATGCAAGGTGAACTCTCCGGGTATGTTGCAAGGATGCCAGACTTTCTAAACGACTTATGTACGGTGAACTCTCCGGGTATGTTGCAAGGATGCCAGACTTTCTAAACGACTTATGCAAGGTGAACTCTCCGGGTATGTTGCAAGGATGCCAGACTTTCTAAACGACTTATGCAAGGTGAACTCTCCGGGTATGTTGCAAGGATGCCAGATTTTCTAAACGACTTATGCAAGGTGAACTCTCCGGGTATGTTGCAAGGATGCCAGACTTTCTAAACGACTTATGTACGGTGAACTCTCCGGGTATGCTGCAAGGATGCCAGACTTTCTAAACGACTTATGTACGGTGAACTCTCCGGGTATGCTGCAAGGATGCCAGACTTTCTAAACGACTTATGTACGGTGAACTCTCCAGGTATGTTGCAAGGATGCCAGACTTTCTAAACGACTTATGTACGGTGAACTCTCCAGCTATGTTGCAAGGATGCCAGACTTTCTAAACGACTTATGTACGGTGAACTCTCCAGCTATGTTGCAAGGATGCCAGACTTTCTAAACGACTTATGTACGGTGAACTCTCCAGCTATGTTGCAAGGATGCCAGACTTTCTAAACGACTTATGTACGGTGAACTCTCCAGCTATGTTGCAAGGATGCCAGACTTTCTAAACGACTTATGTACGGTGAACTCTCTGGCTATGTTGCAAGGATGCCAGACTTTCTAAACGACTTATGCAAGGTGAACTCTCTGGCTATGTTGCAAGGATGCCAGACTTTCTAAACGACTTATGCAAGGTGAACTCTCCAGCTATGTTGCAAGGATGCCAGACTTTCTAAACGACTTATGTACGGTGAACTCTCTAGCTATGTTGCAAGGATGCCAGACTTTCTAAACGACTTATGCACGGTGAACTCTCCGGCTGTGTTGCAAGGATGCCAGACTTTCTAAACGACTTATGTACGGTGAACTCTCCAGCTATGTTGCAAGGATGCCAGACTTTCTAAACGACTTATGCACGGTGAACTCTCCAGCTATGTTGCAAGGATGCCAGACTTTCTAAACGACTTATGTACGGTGAACTCTCCGGCTATGCTGCAAGGATGCCAGACTTTCTAAACGACTTATGTACGGTGAACTCTCCAGCTATGTTGCAAGGATGCCAGACTTTCTAAACGACTTATGTACGGTGAACTCTCCAGCTATGTTGCAAGGATGCCAGACTTTCTAAACGACTTATGTACGGTGAACTCTCCAGCTATGTTGCAAGGATGCCAGACTTTCTAAACGACTTATGTACGGTGAACTCTCCAGCTATGTTGCAAGGATGCCAGACTTTCTAAACGACTTATGTACGGTGAACTCTCCAGCTATGTTGCAAGGATGCCAGACTTTCTAAACGACTTATGTACGGTGAACTCTCCAGCTATGTTGCAAGGATGCCAGACTTTCTAAACGACTTATGTACGGTGAACTCTCCAGCTATGTTGCAAGGATGCCAGACTTTCTAAACGACTTATGTACGGTGAACTCTCCAGCTATGTTGCAAGGATGCCAGACTTTCTAAACGACTTATGTACGGTGAACTCTCCAGCTATGTTGCAAGGATGCCAGACTTTCTAAACGACTTATGTACGGTGAACTCTCCAGCTATGTTGCAAGGATGCCAGACTTTCTAAACGACTTATGTACGGTGAACTCTCCAGCTATGTTGCAAGGATGCCAGACTTTCTAAACGACTTATGTACGGTGAACTCTCCAGCTATGTTGCAAGGATGCCAGACTTTCTAAACGACTTATGTACGGTGAACTCTCCAGCTATGTTGCAAGGATGCCAGACTTTCTAAACGACTTATGCAAGGTGAACTCTCCAGCTATGTTGCAAGGATGCCAGACTTTCTAAACGACTTATGCAAGGTGAACTCTCCAGCTATGTTGCAAGGATGCCAGACTTTCTAAACGACTTATGTACGGTGAACTCTCCAGCTATGTTGCAGGGATGGCAGACTTTCTAAACGACTTATGTACAGTGAACTCTCCAGCTATGTTGCAGGGATGGCAGACTTTCTAAACGCCTTATGTACGGTGAACTCTCCAGCTATGTTGCAGGGATGGCAGACTTTCTAAACGACTTATGTACGGTGAACTCTCCAGCTATGTTGCAAGGATGCCAGACTTTCTAAACGACTTATGTACGGTGAACTCTCCAGCTATGTTGCAAGAATGCCAGACTTTCTAAACGACTTATGTACGGTGAACTCTCTGGCTATGTTGCAAGGATGCCAGACTTTCTAAACGACTTATGTACGGTGAACTCTCCAGCTATGTTGCAAGGATGCCAGACTTTCTAAACGACTTATGTACGGTGAACTCTCCAGCTATGTTGCAAGGATGCCAGACTTTCTAAACGACTTATGTACGGTGAACTCTCCGGCTGTGTTGCAAGGATGCCAGACTTTCTAAACGACTTATGTACGGTGAACTCTCCAGCTGGTGGGCAGAAAAAAACGCTTCAACGAATTTTTGAAAGCTTCACTCAATTCTATGGACATTGCCCTGAATTCGTGGGAGACACACTTGCTATGGACCGTCTCATTGTAGACTCACTGTTGAAGCACACCAGCTGGCGTGGAGGATTCACTGTTAGAGCACACAAGCCGACGTGGTAGACTCACTGCGGGAGCGATATCCTCAGAGAGTTAACGCACAGCTCACGTCCAAAGAAAGCCTATTATACAGCAAGGAAAAAGCAGATTCGACTCCAATCCAACGAAGACACCCAAAAACACGTATGTCCTATGCGCAGGCAAGCCATCCGGCCACAAATAGAACTGGAAAGCCCCTTTGAGTACTCACCGTTGAATACAGCCCTGGCCATCTTCACAAGCCCTTTCCCCCCTCCCTTTTGTGTACTCACAGTTGAATACAGTCCAGGTCATCTTCAGGTCAAGTCGTTAGAATAGTGTACAACACAACACAAACAAATGTGTTTAAAGATGTATCCTGTTTGGACATAGCCGTAGCATAATGGCTAATAACATGTGTTAAACACAAGACAGAGATGTTAAAGTAATGTGAATTACATCACGTGCCTTCCGTCCTTACCCTACAAAATAGTATAAGTAGAAACATAGATGACATGGA